AGCAGCACCGCAGCATGGGTGCCTAGGCACCATCGCATAGCAAGCACTACACCATCGCATGGCTAGGGCTGTGCGTGTGTGCGTGTGCTTGTGCCTTAGCCTATCGCACCATCGCAGCAGCATGGCTGCGCATATGCGTGCCTTCGCATGGCACTGCACCGCAACATGCGTAGCTGGGCACTAGGCACCATCGCAGGCCCCTCGCACAAGCACAGCACTATCGCATGGCTAGGCCAGTGCGTGTGTGCGTGTGCGTGGAGGGAATCGCAGCAGTAGCACGAGCCTCGCTCAGTGCGCGTGCATATAGGCCATCGCAGCATCACAGCACAAGCTTCGCATGCTTGTGCGTGAGGCTGGTGAGGCGATGCCCAGCATGCGTGGCTCGCTAGCAGCACGCATGCTTGGAAATGCGAGGGGGCAGTGCGTGTGCGATGGCGAGAGAGGCAAGGGCCAGCGCTAGTAGCTAGCAGCGCCTAGCACTAGCACTAGCGCTAGCACGCAGCAGCAGCAGCACAAGCATCGCCTAGCACAGCACGCATATGCTGGCTGGGGTGATGCGGGGCTTGCTGGATGGTGCTAGCTGGCAGCACTGGCTGGCGTGCCTAGCTGGCTGCCAGCCCAGCAGCCCTTGCTTGAGGCGGTTTGAGGTGAGTGGGGACCAAGGGCTTGGAGCATGCCTCGAGGAGCAAGGCAATGGTCCCCCCAAGGTTCATGGTCCTCACCTAACTCTCTCTCTCCCCTTGACACTTGTTGCATTGTGATTGATTTAATTATTAATTTATTTTGGAAATAAATTAATTATCAAAATTATTCATTCTCCCACATTGGTTGGGAAATGAAGTTCAAGGGTGCATTTCCCTATAAATACCAAAGGCTTGGGTATTTGGAAATACACAACCTTGAGTGGAATTAAAAGGCAACTCTTGATTTGAGTAAACCTTGATTCATAAAACTCATAGTTTTATTTGTCCGGGTCTCGACTAACCTTCGAGACTTAGGACGCTTGGGTCGGGTTCGAGGGTACGATCCCGTCGGAGGCCTCATGTTTTCGAGGTTCAAGTAAGAGCTCTTTGTTGAGCGAAGCACGCGTCAAAGGTATAATCTTTTATCCTTTCTTGTGTTTAATTATGTTTTGCTTGTTAATTGCATTCATTATAGGGGAAAGTCTTGGCGGATTTCTTTCCGCGTAGTGTGGGTCACTACGAAACCTAACAGGGCATATAGGATAGAGTTTCGCGTTTTAAAAAAAAAAACTATTTTCTTCTTTGGAAAGATGATTGAGAAAAGGATGCTCGGGTTCTCATAATGAGACCTATAATGGGTACGCCTCTCTGTCTAGGCAAGGCTCTCCCCGACGCTGTGGGTAACTTACCTGGGAGACGCGGGCTCGACCATCCTATATCATGAGTCGAGTACATTATTAAGTTCGAAATAAAATGAACTGAAATTCCTAAGTTTCAAAATTATGTGTGCATGTAAGGGGGTTCAATGAGAAGAAGTCCATGGATAGGACATTTTGGGTATATTTGTGGCCCATGCATGTTAAACTAATATGCTTGTGAACATTTATTTGTTTATATGAATACTTATTGAATTATTGTTGTCTAAACAGATGTTGGATGATATTAGGAAGAAGTACTTTAACATTCACTACTTAAAAATCGATGCACTCAGTGTTAGCGATTTTGTGACTAGAATAACGGTGCTAGCTCTACACTATTATGAGAAGTACAACCTTGAAGTTTTTACCCAACCTCCTTGGCTAGTTCTTTTGGCATTAGCCCACTTACCCAAGATTAAGAAGTACTATCCTCTTCTTGAGAAGTATGGGGATGTGGTTAAGGATGATGGACTTTGGAACGAGAGACAATACCATGAGGGAAGATGGTTAGCCACCTTAACCCATTTTAAGAATGATGTACACTACTTAGAGCGTAAATATGAACCAAAAAGGAAGTTTGTGAAGCCACCTAATCTTACACCTCACCACACATTAACCGAGGTTGACCAACTTCGCTACCTAAACGCCTAACTCCCTTTCTCTTACCCAAAGTATGAAAAAGACTTTGACTCTTCTGACGATGAATCCATCCCACCCCTTGGATGACGTAAGAACTATCCTTCTACTTCCCATTTCTCAAAATATAAGGTTCATATCTCACGTGAGCACCCAAAACCTCAAACCAAAGCCCGAATTCCAAAAAGGCCTAGAATTCATGACTTTTCATCATCTTCTAGTTCCAACTCTTCACCTCCTCCACAACCCAACAACCCTAACCCTCAAGGAAACCCAAACCCAAAGTCAGGCCAAACTCCAAATTACAGTGATTATGTACCAACCTATTTGAGGGAACCCAATGGTAACAAGAAGGCTAACAGTGAAGATCCAGAGTTCGATCCAGTGGAAGAGAAGGGTTCAAATAAATGATATATGTTATGATTTGTTTCAATAAATTTTATGCATAATAAAATGTACTTCGAATATCAATTAGTAATAATAATAAAGTATTTTCTTGATTTCTTCTATGTTTATGTGTACGAATCAATTTTAATTTCTCTTTCTTTCTCTCAAATGTGAACCTCAGGAAAAATATGTCTTTAAAGTTAAAGAATAAGAAAGCTGGTTCCAATATGGGCAAGGTCCTTAAGAAACTAACCCATCTTGCTGAAAACATTACCCAAGTAGCAAACCAAGGGAAGGGTTCAGGAAATGGGGACATTTTTGGTGAAGTCTTTAAGGGAGTAGCTGCAGCCAAACCACCCTTTTTCTTAGGAAAAGAGGACCCAGCTAGCCTTGAAAACTGGATCCGAGAGTTCGATAAGTTGTTTGATGCAATCAATTGTCTAGACGATATGAAAGTTAGTAATGGTGCTTACTATCTAAAAGAAGAAGCTGACTTATGGTGGACGCAAAAGAAAGAGGAATTGATGAAAGACCCTAATTTTGGGTGGGAGGTTTTTAAGGTAGCTTTGAGGAAAAAGTTTTATCCTGACCATTTGAGGAAACAAAAATGTATGGAGTTTCACTAACTTAAGGATGGGAACTATGACTGTGAATGAGTACTATTCTAAGTTCATAGAACTGATGAGGTTTGCACCGGAAGTAGTACTAACAGAGGCTATCAAAGCCCAAAGGTTCGAACAGGAGTTAACTTGGAATATGCAAGGAAAACTGGGTGGGGCAACCTGTAAGAGTCTAGATGAGGTGTATGGCCGAGCTGCCCATTTGTAGGGGATCAAAGGAAGAGAGCTAGGGAGCATGTCAGGGGAGAAAAGGAAGTCTAATGATCAACCCCAAGGGAGCGATAAGAGGCCCAAGTACCATGCAAATTTCGGGAATGAGAACCATGGGGATAAGAGGGACTTTAAAGGGAATTTTCGGAGAAACTCGAACCAGGGTGATGAGAATAGAGAGAACAAGGATAGAACTAAGAGAAGTTACTTCTGTAAAAGATGTGGGAAGGATTACCCGGGGAAGGATTGTGCAGGTAATAAAGTGACATGTCGATACTGCCAAAAATTGGGACACCGAGAATATGAGTGTTTCAAGAAGGAAGCAGATTTGAAGAATGGAAAGGTTCAGGATGAACGGAATCCCCCAAAACCCCCGCAATCTAGTGGACCTGCCCAGAACACTGGAATCAGCAATGGTGAAAATACTCCTAAGGGCCGGATTTTCGTAATGAATAGCCGTGAAGCCGAGACTTCCAATAATGTGGTAATTGGCACTTTTTTTATACGTTCTTTATCTGTGAAAGTTTTATTTGATTCGGGTGCATCACACTCTTTTATTTCTAAGACAGTAATAGAAAGTCTCCAGTTAGAAAGTCCAGAGTCAGTCTCCTTGAATGTAGCTATTCCAACAGAGGAAGTTAGAGAGTATTCTAGACTTTTTAGGAATATACCCCTAACTATTTCAGAAGTAGAGTTTCCATCGGACCTAATTGAATTCGATCTCAAAGACCTTGATGTGATCGTAGGAATGGACTGGTTGGGAAAGTACAAAGCCAAGATAGATTGTGCAGCACAGAAAGTCACGCTTTATGGCCCAACAAAGACCAGAGTGACTTATAGGAAGGAAGGGAAAAGTCAAGGGATAAGAATTATTTCTGCGTTACAACTTTAGAAGTGTCTCAAGAAAGGGTATTCGTTATTCATGTGTAGCCTCCAAGAGATAAGGGATGAAGAAGAAAAGAGTGATACAAAATTACCTGTTGTGGAAGGATTTCCCGATGAAATACCAGGCATGCCACCAGAAAGAGATGTGGAATTCACGATTGACTTGGTCCCTGGAACTGGACCTATTTCCAAGGCTCCATACAGGATGGCCCCAGCTGAGATGAAAGAGCTAAAGGTTCAATTGGAGGATTTGCTTGAAAATGGATACATTAGACCCAGTTCCTCACCCTGGGGAGCTCCAGTACTGTTTGTGAAGAAAAAGGATGAGAGTTTAAGGTTATGTATTGATTACCGTGATTTGAATAATGTCACCGTGAAGAACAAATATCCACTACCCCGGATTGATGATTTGTTTGACCAGTTAAAGGGAGCAGGAACATTCTCAAAAATAGATTTGAGGTCGGGTTATCACCAGTTAAGGATTGCAGAGCAAGATATTCCTAAGACTTCTTTCAGGACCCGCTATGACCATTATGAGTTTACAATAATGCCGTTTGGGTTGACAAACGCAACGGCAGTGTTCATGGATCTGATGCATCGAATCTTCCGACCCTATCTGGACAAGTTTGTAGTGGTATTTCACTAGTAGAAAAACTTAAATGGGCACTTCCAAATGCGCACCGGTTTTTAAAAATTGGTGCGAAAAAAAATTGGCCGGATTGAGGGAAAGAGTTTTCGCACCGGTTCTAACAAAATTGGTGGGAAAAGTTAGTACATCGCACCGGTTCAATTCGAACCGGTGCGAAAACTCTTGTAAAAAAAAAACCGGTTATAATTCGTTCTTTCTCTTTCCTCCTCGATCTTTCCTCCTCTGTCATCTGCCTCTCTCCACTCTCTCTCTTTCCTCCATTGAAGCGTACTCGACATTCTCCATTGAAGGGGCTTCTGATTTGCAAGTGCCCACTGTCGACCATTGCTGGTTCTTCCTCTAATTGTCGGTGCTAGTGGTGGTGGGTTCCATCTTCTAATTGTCTCAAGCACCACTGGATGTGTTTGCAAGTGCCCACCGTCGACCATTGCTGGTTCTGCCTGCTCCGGTCGCACGCACCACCGTCCTTGTGCTCTACCACCACCGTCCAACAGCTGGCCACCAGGTTCGTTGTTAACTTATATTTATTTAACTTCTTACCTCAATTTCGTTTTCTTCTTGCTAGGGCTACAATTTTGATTGCAGTTTTTAGGTCAAAATTGGGGCAATTTCATTGTGATTGTTGTTGTTTTCAAATTATTATAGGTTATTAGTTCTGAAATATATTGGCTTTTTCTAGGGTTTTGTTAATTTAGATTTTTCAATATTATTTTTATTAGCCTCTAATTTTCTAGAATTTCTTTGTTTTGTTTTGACTAACATTTAATTGTTGATGTTATAATTTTCTGGAATTTCGTTGTTTTGTTTTGACTAAAGCTTATGCTCCTCATTTTTCAGATAAGACTTGAAGAAAGGCATTCATGTTGAAAACCTAACTGAGTTAGAGGTCACTAGTGCTCGAGATGTTATGCAACAGCTTCTTCTGGTATTGATCAACCTAACTAAACACATACTCAACCTACAGAAGACCTTGATTAGATTGTACAAGCATAATTAAGTTTGCATGGTGATAGATAATCTTTTGTTCTTTGCTAAAGTCTAAAGTTTAGGTTCGGTTCTGGTGAGAGCATGGTTTGTTAAGGAGCCAATTAATCTCAAGTATTCTCAACCCTTGACATGATTTTTGACCTCTTAAAATATGCCTCTTTACTAGGGGCCTCCTGAATGAGTTACAACAACAAACTTTACAAATATCTTGTGACAAGGTTGCAAATTAACTAGGAGCCTGTAGGATGACTAGCAATGATACGTATCAACTTGTAAAATTCTGTGATGATTCCACTTGTCATCTTCAAATATGAACTCGTGAATGGTAAATATGACAATCTCGGAATATGTTTCAAAGTCTCTAAGGTGACTGATATTTTAATCGATGCCCGTTTTTTACGAATTCTATATACAAGTGCCTAATGAAGAAATGTTAACGGTTGTCAGGGTGCTGCAAGGTGGCTGCCACTAACATGAATAGAGCAAGTAGTCATTCTCACAGTGTATTCACCTGTGTTATTGAGAGTACTGTAAGTATTTTCCCTCTAAGTCTAGTATGTGTAAAAAAAACCAGCTCTTTTATAGTGCAGAATTTTCAAAGTTTGAAATTTAAGTGCTTAATGAATGGTGGTAAAACTGCAGTGGGAATCCCAAGGTGTAACACATAATCGCTTTGCTCGACTAAATCTTATAGATTTAGCTGGCTCTGAAAGGTAAAATCATAAATTGCAACTCGTTGCTAGTACTAGACTAATACAAAAGAAAGAAAATAGAAAGAGAGAAATTATTGTTCTAGAATCTAGTCTTCTTCTTGAGTGTTTTACTTCTATCTATTTCAAGTCTTAGCCTCACCAAGATGATCATTACAGGAAAAAGAGTTCTGGTGCAGAAGGTGACCGTCTTAAAGAAGCCACAAATATCAATAAGTCACTGTCAACTTTAGGTCTGTTTTTCCTTCTTTCAATTAAAACTATATAGCAGTAGCTCACAGTAAAGAATTTATCTCTTGATTGTCCTTACTTTTTATAATGCTTTAGACTCACGATAATGAACCTCGTGAGCATATCCAATGGAAAATCCCATCACGTGCCATATCGAGATTTAAAATTTACCTGTTTGCTTCAGGTATTTTCTAACACAATTTTTTGCTCATTAATCTGCCAAGGAATCCTATTTGCAAGTCTGACTTGAGCTATACTTTGGAATTCAACTCACTTGGAGGGAATGCAAAAACCACTATAATTGCTAATATTAGTCCATCCAACTGGTTAGTGCTTCCTGCATCCCTTTTCTTTTTAATCGTCACTTTCATCTATAATGTAATGTGAATCTAAACCAGGCAAAGTGTTCAGTTTGTATCTCATACACATGGTAGTGTTGATTTAGCAATCTCAAATAATTCTCTTCTATTTTGAGGTGATGGCAGAGTTTATAATTTTGCTTAAGCAGATACAGAGTATTTCCTGTTTTTCTTTATCTCGAGTTCCAAATATAGAAGGTAGATTTTTCAGTGTTTAGAACTTTATTCCTTGATATAACTTTTCAGCTTCTTACAGCTGCTCACTGGAGACTTTTAGCACCCTGAAGTTTCAGCGTGCTAAATTTATAAAGAACAATGTATGTTGTCAGGAAATCTGTACTACTTTGTGTTTGGCTAAGTTGCTTTTCTTTAAATATTTGCCTTTAAGTACCATTCTTTAAAAGAATATTAACTGGTTAGCTTCATGTTCATTAATTATAATATTTATATCCATTTGTTCGACCTATCAGGCCGTTATAAACGAAGATGCTTCTGGTGATGTCCTTGCCATGAGAATGCAAATTCAGCAATTGAAGGTATCTCTATCTTATATCTTCCCAAGAACTAATACAATAGAGGATTTCTTCTAAGAGAAGCATAAGATTATATTAATAGACACATATTTCATATGTTGTGTAAAATTGCAAAAGTCTTGTTGCCAAACAATCTCAATTCTCACTTGAATTTGTACTAATCTTTTTATTTTTAGTACATTAGTATAATTTCTGTCTTCATGTTTCAAATATTTTTCTGAAGAAAATAGTTAAGCTGTTGTTGGATTGGTGTTGGATATCATAAAGAAGTTAAATTATATGAACCTTGTCTGTACTCATCTGATTTATCATGGTGCTGAAAGAAGTGTCACATCTGCGTAGTTTACAAAATGGAGGAGTTGGAAGTTAGGATAATGATGCCATGACGTTGGGGGTTTTGGGTGGGGAAAGGGATGGGAGTTAGGGTGGTTTCGGGTTGGGAAATTCAAGTTTTGGGCGGTTTCGTTGGTGGGGCTGGGGCGAGGGGTCTATTGCGCTCATGTGGCTCTGGAAGGAGGGTGGTTTCGGTGGTGGTGCAGGGGGAGGGGGTGGCTGTCGGGGATGGGTTGGGGAATGGCTGTCAGGCTGGGTGGGGAATTGTTTAATTAATTTTTTTGATTTTAGGGTTTTTGAATTTTAATTGATAATTGAATTTATTTTAGATTTTGGGGTTTCATTGTTGTATTATCGAAGTTAATATGTTGGATTTTAGGGATTTTTGGGTCAAATACCTAGCGACAAACTCCTATGTTCCTTCACTAAAACGCAGTCAAGAGATAGAGTGCAGTGTGTGCTTAGAACGTGTGCTCGCTAAGACAACAGCCTCTGAACGGAAGTTTGGTTTGCTATCAGAATGTGACCACCCATTTTCTATAACTTGCATCAGATTTTGGCGTAACAGCTCACCAACCTCTGGAATGGATGTTAATTCCACATTGAGGGCTTGTCCTATATGTCGTAACGGCTACAGTGGAATCACAGAAATTGCAGCCTCTTTCTTCTTATACTGCATAAGTTATATTATCAAATTTATGTGGCTCGAGCTAGCAAAAATACCCTTGACTTTTCTGTCTTTTATGAACAGCTATGAGGGTTTGAAGCCACCCAGCTCTCCAAGCCCATCTCCTCCTGGTAACTCTAGTGAAGAATCTTTGGAGACTTCAACACCTGTGGATGGTGTACCACAGTTCATTAATGGAAATGGATCCTTGGCAGAAGATGTTCAAGAGGAATTGATTTTTTACCACTCACCATTCCCTGTGTAAGTCTTTGCAGTCATGCTGATATCCTGAGGGTGGTGAAGTCTTGTGATTATCCCAAACATGTGTAGAAATGTACTAGTGTAGTATGTTTTAATAGCAAGTGAATAAACTAGATTACCATAGGTAATTTGCTCATATGCATGCATCATTCTCCCACATTTACTCAATTGATTCAGTCAAGATGCCCTTTGTATTTTGGCTTCATTTAACCACAACATAGAAATACCTTTTTACTTGAAGTTTTTATTCTATGGATCATAATTTAGTCAAGTCATTTAGCTAGTCAGTAGCTGGCTCTCATCTTTACACAACATTTGAGATTCCCTTTTCAACTCATATATTATTTGGGAAAATAGCTGATAAAAAAATTGGTTATCTTCTCTTTTCCTTGCAGATATGAAGACTTGAAGCCCCCTACTTCGCCAACCCCAACAACTCCTAATTCATTGGCCACTTCCATGGCCTCGGATGGTGCTGAATCTCAGACAGCTAGCTTGTCAAATAATGGTCCAGTTGAATCTATTGAAGCATAAGATGCAGGGAATGAGCAGACTTCCGCACAGCCAAAGCCAAGACCACTTTCACCGTATGCTATGTAAGTCAGTCAACATTCAATCTTTCGTTCTTTTTTATTTTTCCCGAATATTTTCTGTTTACCATTTCAATGGATAAGAGGTTTCTCATCTTGCTGGAATACTAAACTGAATATGCACACGTATAGTTGTATTGTCTTGAGAGCAGAATTCCAGTCTTTCTTTTTGGAAATGGTGGTGGTTGCTCAACTGATTTGACAAATTGAAAGATTATTTAAGTGTGTCTATAGAATTAGCCTGATTGTAACTCATTGAGGCTAGCTTCTAAATACTTAAAGACATTTTCATTGAAGTATAATTATCTGGTAATCTGGTATAGATGAATACTTTTTATTAGTATATTGTCTTTATTTTAAGCATCTATATATAGTTCTCTGTTACATCTGAAAAGCCGAAGATTTTTTTTTCAAGTAAAAGTTATAATTTCTATCAGATTGTGAGATACTAAAATGTGTTTATTTTAATTACATATTAAAGCCAAAGCAATCTGTTGTGTATAGTCCATGAGATCATTTCAGACTTAAGGGGAGCTTAATTTTTTATCTCAAATTTTGTATTGCTTTCAAACGTAAATGATGAACGATCTCCTTAATTTTGTATTGTCGTCATCCCTCTTTAATGTTTACTTAGTTAATTACTCGTTTACAGGCTGTTCTGACTTCTGGTTTGTTCTGACTTTTGGGATTCATTGGTTTGTTCTGACTTCTGGGATTCTATCTCCTTTTTGCTCTCTTGTGAGCAACTGTACATCGACATCTCAAGTTCTGAATTTAATTCATATTATGAGGCAGAAGTTCAGTGACATCTTAACTGTGTACATCGGATATTATAGCTTTGGAAAGTTTTTCTTCATGTCTGATGTAGATGTAAGTTTTTCAGCAATATATCTGTCTTCTTGGTCAGCTTAAACTTTTATGAAAGTTGTAATGGTGATTTTGCTTTTTCAGGAGTAAAGGTCGCTGCACTCGACTAATGTTATGATCGGAATGCTTCTAATGCCAGCTTAGTCTGCCTGAGAGCCTTTTGCATGTCCATGTTGTTTGTGCTTATGTAACATTGTATGTTATTTATTTTTTGACGAAAATTGTAATATTACAGCCTTTTATAAAGAAAATATGTAACTATATATATATGTTAGTGTTTATATATCAATATAAGTGAAAAAAATGCAAAAAATAAAAAAAAAAAAAATTATTTTTTTGGGGCACTTTTGGCATCGGTTTTGGAACAGAACCGGTGCTAAAAGTTTTTTTAAATTTTTTTTTGGGACTTTTGGCACCGGTTTAAAGCAAAAACTGGTGCGAAAAGTGAGGTTTTTTGCACCGGTTTTCACCTAAAACCGGTGCGATAAGTCTGATTTCGCACCGGTTTAAAACCGGTGCGAAATCTATGGGGTTTTAGCACCCCCCAAATTAAGACCGGTTCAAAACCGGTGCGAAATGGGGGGTTTGAACCGGTGCGGATTACATGTTTTCGCCTAGTGTTTATTGATGACATTCTGGTTTACTCGAATAGTAAGGAGGACCATGAAGACAATTTGAGGAAAGTGTTACAGTTGTTAAGGGAGCACCAGTTATATGCCAAACTTTCTAAGTGTGAGTTCTGGTTAGAGAAAGTTGCCTTTTTGGGGCATGTGATCTCTAAGGAAGGAGTCTCGGTTGACCCAACTAAGGTACAAGCTGTACAGGAGTGGCCAACCCCAAAGAATGTGTCAGAGGTGAGGAGTTTCCTAGGATTAGCCGGGAATTATCGGAGGTTTATAAAGGACTTTTCGAAAATAGCAAGACCGATGACCAACTTGATGAAAAAGGAATTTAAGTTCATTTGGTCTCCTGAGTGTGAGGAAGCATTTCAAACCCTGAAAGAAAAATTGACAACAGCCCCTGTGTTAGCATTACCTAATGAGAGTAAGGAGTATGAGGTGTACAACGATGCGTCAAAGTTTGGGTTAGGATGTGTTTTGATGCAAGCTAGGAGAGTAATTGGTTATGCCTCAAGACAACTGAAGACGTATGAGCAAAATTACCCAACCCATGACTTGGAACTTGCTGCCATAGTGTTTGCCTTGAACATTTGGAGGCATTACTTGAATGGAGTGACTTGTAAAATTTTCACTGACCACAAGAGCCTAAAGTATATCTTCACCCAAAAGGAATTGAACAATAGACAGAGAAGGTGTTTAGAATTCATCAAGGATTATGAGCTGCTAATCCAATACCATGAGGGTAAGGCTTATGTAGTGGCAGACGCCTTAAGTAGGAAGTTAAGACACTCGATATATGCGATAATATTGTCGGACCAACTGTGTATCGAGTTCCACAAGATGAGTTTGGAGGTAGTAGAGCAAGGAGAAGTCAGTCGGATGTTGAACGCTTTGATTATACGACCATCGATTTTCGAGGAAATTAAGAACAGTTAGTCGGAGGATGAAAAATTGAAGAATATAAAAGAGAAAATGGGTGAAGGGCAGGTAACGGATTTCACCATTGATGAAGAAGGTGGACTTCGTTTTAAGGGAAGATGGTGTATTCCACAACACCGTGGGGACATCAAACAAAGGTTGATGGAAGAAGCTCACAGTTCTCCTTATTCAATGCATCCTGGAGGGGACAAATTGTATAAGGACATGAAGAAAATGTTTTGGTGGCCCAATATGAAAATTGAAGTTGCAGAATTTGTGGTCAAGTTCCTAACATGTCAGAAAGTGAAGATTGAACATCGCAGACCACAAGGGAAAGTCCAATCATTAGAAGTGCCTAGTTGGAAGTGGGATTCCATCTCCATGGATTTTGTTGGGGCATTACCCAAAACTCGGGCGGGAAATGACACAATTTGGGTAATTGTGGATTGATTGACGAAAACAGCTGTCTTTATACCCATGAAAAACACTTGGTCCATGGAGCAATTGGGAAAAGCCTATGTTGGTTAAGTATGTAGTAAAGTACCATGGGGTGCCAAGCGATATTGTGTCAGACAGGGAATCGAGGTGCCTATCCAACTTTTGGCAAAGTGTGCAAAAAACAATGGGGACGAAACTACTAATGAGCACGGCATTTCACCCTGCCACGGACGGACAGACCGAGAGGACCATCCAAACATTGGAGGATATGTTGAGGGCATGTGTAATGGAATATCAAGGGTCGTGGGAAGACCACCTGGATTCGATTGAGTTCTCCTACAACAATAGTTACCATGCAAGTATTGGGATGGCACCATTTGAAGCCCTATACGGGAGGAAATGTAGAAGCCCAGTCTGTTGGAGTGATATCAGTGAAACAATGGTACTTGGACCGGATATGATTGAAGACATGGTTAAACAAGTCAAATTGATACAAGAAAGGATGAAAGCAGCCCAAGACAGGCAAAGAAGCTATGCTGATCCAAAGAGAAGGGAAGAAGAATATCAAGTAGGAGAGAAAGTGTTGTTGAAAGTGTCACCCATGAAACGAGTTATGAGATTTGGGAAAAGAGGAAAATTGAGCCCGAAGTATATTGGACCATATGAAATTACTCAACGGATCGGAAAAGTGGCATATAGTTTGAACTTACCCAGTGAGCTAGAAAAGGTCCATAACGTATTTCATGTGAGCCAACTCCGGAAGTATGTACATGATGCGACTCATGTATTACAACCCGAGAACATAGAAATGGAGCAAAACCTGACTTATGAGGAAAGACCTTTCAAAATTCTGGATACTAAAGTCAGGAGCACAAGAAACAAGGATGTGAGAATCGTAAAAGTGTTATGGACAAATCACAGAATTGAGGAAGCAACATAGGAAGCTGAAGCCGATATGCGGAAGCGCTACCTGGAACTTTTTCTTGAGGTTAGTGGTCGAGTTACAGGGGCGTAACTCTTTTTAAGGGGGGTAGAGGACGATAGAGTTTCGCGCGCATTTATTTTCAACCCTCTAGGTAAGCAGTAGGTCGTGTCTAGCTAGAATGTGCATGAAATTAACAAACTAAAATCTATTCTCAAAGAAGAATATTTTTAATTTTTCCTCATTATTCTGCCTAGTTTCGGGGCGAAACTTCTTTTAAGGGGGTAGACTGTAATACCCCGTATTTTTGAAAGGTATTTTCTAAATTAAAGAGTATTTTAGTCTCGTATTTTGACGTATTTTTCTAAATTAATTATTTTTTCCTAAAGAGTATTTTAGTTTTGGAGACAAAATGATATTTAAATTTTGGCGCCTAAATCATTTGTCTTATTATTTTACAAAACTAATTAAAATGGATAATCGAATAAATGAAACTATTCTATACCTATGTTATAAACAGTATTTTTGATTTCTCAAAAAAATTAAATAGCTAAACCGAAATTATATTAATTCGGTTAAAATAAATTAATTAAATTAATTAAATTTTCGGATTTCATATAATAAAAATCTAAATTGTTTTAATATCTTTCCAAATTAATTATTTTCATGAAATATATATTTATAAATTAATTTTTTGATTTTATATAATAAAAATCTGATTTAATTAATTTTTATAAGTCAATATTTTCGGCCACCCCAATTTATTTAATAAAAATATGATTTTATTCTTCTAATTATTAATTTTCACAAAATAAATTTTATTGGATTATTAATTTTAGGCATAAAAATTATTTTACAAAATCCATAAATTAACGTAGAGGGACCGAAATTATTGAGCAATATTGAGCTCAATATTTTCGGCCACTCATGAATTTTCTAAATGATTTTAATTTATTTTATTAAAAATAAAAATCCTTTAAAATTTCTTATTTCTACTCTTAAATCTAAAATTTATTTGATCTTATTCTATACTTGCACTCCAAGCTGAAAACTTACTAAACAAAATTTCATGACAAAATAAAATCTAATATTCTTCCATACATTTAAAACCCTAATTTCTATTCTTTGAAATTACCATAAATTATACAACCCTAAATTGCTATAAACCCATCACCTAAACAGCTATAAATACCCCTCTTCCAAACACCCCAAGACACACATTAAAACCCCAAGAAATCTCTCTCTCCCTCACGGTTTTCCTCTTCTTTTTCCTCCCCAATTTCCGGCCACCACCTTCACCGGCAACCACTTGCTGCCGCCGGCGACCACCAGTCACCGCCACCTCACTACCGGCCACCCTTGCTTCTCCCTTGCTTTGGTTCCACCTCCATCCTTCAATTTCTCCTTTCTCCTAATCTTATTTTACATTACTAAGCATTTTCATATATATTATTTCTTGCATAAATTATAGTATAAAAACAGAAAAAAAATTTAAATTATAAAAACAGAAAATTATTTTATTAAAATATAATGATACTTTATAATTAATTCATACACATATAGGGTAGTTTGGTTAAGTTGTTGTGTTTATTTGATAGCCTTATGTTAATTAAGGTTATAATAATGTGTAGGGTGTTCGTGATTAAGTGAAGTAATTGTGTGAATCCCTCGTGTTACGATCAAGGTACGTTATGTGGTTTGATACCTTCGAAAGTTGTCTATGAAATTATATTTTATTATGTTCCGTATGAAATTATATTATATTATTCCGTATGAAATTATATTCCGTATGAAATTATGTTATTACGTTCCGTATGAAATTATGTTTTATGAAATTATGTTGTACGATGGATTGAAATTAATGATTTTGATTAAAACAAAAGAGACTTTGAATCGTGATTGAAAATATTAAAAAGGATTGGATTAAAAACGATTTACAAGTTTATTGTTATTCAAGTATAACGGATTTTTAAAAGGTGCTTTTAAGCAAATCAATCGATATGTTATGAATCCCACTTAGGGAATGGATTAGAGAAGGCTATGGACTTTGCATGACCTAGTCTTTCCTCAAGATTGGCCTTTGTTCATAAAGTAAACCACTTGGGGGGTGTGCACACTTAGTGAGGAATTGATTTTGAAATGTAATCGATTGAGTTTTAAACTTGTCTTGAAAGAATTGAATTGTAAAAGTTCTTGCATGAGTATGATATTGGAAAGAATGTGTTGGAATTATTAGAATTAAATGTACGTGATTTAATTAATGTTTTACTTATCTCACACTTTATCTACTTAGCATAATTTGCTAATACGTGCTTTGGTTTTCGCTTTGCCCTGT